ACAGAAAGCTCAGTGTCCCAAAAAGTCAAGGTCCTCCCTCCTAATAAGAGAGAGATGCGTGTAGATCAAACTTTCTTAACTTTAATTAAATTTACAAAAAAATACGTGTAATATTTATATCTCTAAATAAATTTATTATAAAAATCTGTTCAACCATGTATCTAATAATACTAATTATCTATTGTAATTATTAATATTCTTTTACATATAATTAGTTAAAGTTAAAAAAAATTGATTTCTTAGGAAGCGAGAACATCTTCTATTTTGGGTATGTTCATGAACAAGTCAATGGAAGCCTGCTGTGAACTGCACCCTCAAGGTTGCAGTGTTACTGTGTTGACATGATCCAGGATTGGTACAGTCATTTCTATCTGTGTTCGTTCGGGCACAAATACACAATAACAAGAGGAGAGCGAGATTGTATTACTGTCAAAATGAAATGGCTGTGTTCGGCTGGTGCACAGTACAGTGAAATTTAGATGGTTCTGGATAATTTAATAGTGTTTTGTGAGAAAAAATAAACTAAAGAAACAAGCCAGCAGTGTACGAGTTTGAAGCTGGCAAGTAGCAACGCAGCTACGGAGTACTAGCTAGCACCACGAACTGATTCTGATTCCTGCCTGGTTGCTTCTGCTCGCAGGGCACGCAGGCAGGCATAGTTGTTTGGCCGATGGTTTTCATGACCCGTAAGCCGGCTGCGGCTGTTTTTGTTATGGAAGAAAAATACTGGAGCTGTTCAAGTTATCCCTAAAAGGCTAAAATGGAGCACCGGAGCTGGCCCCAGAATTAGATGTGTGAAGGATTATCCAACAGGTTAGAATATGGTCTATTCATTTGAACTTATCAGCTAACTTATTAGTTAAAATCTATAGTATTTTCTCTCACAGCAAATCAACTCCAACCGACTTATCATCTGGCTTTAACACAGCCGAACAGGGAAGCGACGGCCGTAGCAGGTAGCCAGGGAGCCAATCGCTCCTGACTGGAACAGGAACATGTGAAGAGGCAGCAGCAGCCAGCAGCACTACTACTCCGGTCAGTCCAAGGTGGTCAAAAGGTGCCCCGAAACCGCGGCGAATTCAGTGTCAGTGCTGGCTGGCGCCTCCGGTCGTCCAAACGGCGAACGGAAACGGCTGCTGCACACCTGCACCCCCAGGCCAGGCCCCAGCATGCACTAGGCGTCAGCACTACTAGTAGCAGCTCACCAATTTGAATTTTTCTTTTGTGATTAGATAATTAATTAAAAGTCTGTCGTTAATCTCAAGGCTGTTCATTCAGCGCTAACACCAAAACCCAGCTACCCGGCCCTCTGACTCTTCTTCTTTGCGTACGTACGCCTGGCCCACAGACCACTTTGTGAACCTGCTGAGTCGCAGCAGTCCACATTCCACAAGCCACAAGAGTCAAACAGCCTGTTCGCTTGTTGGTTTTAGCCAACCTAAACCAGTCAGCCAACAGTATTTTCCTCTCACAAAAAACCAACATCAGCCAGCCCAAATCAGCACCGACACCAACCAGTGAACAGGCCCAAAGAGCTAGCTAGAAATCTAGAATGATAAGGCTAGTGCTCTGCTTTTTCTTTACCAATTCCTTGCAAGGTGGAGATCTACGACGATCTACCCTAATAGCTGTAGAAGTATTAAATAGGGCCATGTTTAGTTGCCTAAATTTGGCGTCGCAAAAACACTGTAGCTGACTGTAGCATTTCATTTGTATTTGTTAATAATTGTCCAATCGTTGACTAATTAGGCTCAAAACGATCGTCTCGCAGAGTACAACCAAATTGTGTAATTAGTTTTTAATTTCATCAACATTTAATACTCTATACATGTACCATAAATTTGATGTGATGGAAAATCTTTTTTTTTATAGTGTCAGAATTTAGGGTAAACTAAACATGCCCTAGGCTTACTCGATGCATATATACTTTTGTACGTAGTGGACGGATCGGATCCTACTACCAGGACCGACCACCCAATGCAAGTGCGCGCACGTAGTGTGTAGTGCGCTCTCGCTAATTCTTCGAGAAAACGCCATGTTCTAGTCTAGCTAGTCCACCATCTGTAGTGGCGGACGCCCTCACCGCCTCCCTGGGGACCAAGCATAAGTGACCTTCTAACGACCCTAGCGTGGTAACGATGGCCAAAGACAAAGGGAATGAAACGCGTCAAAAAAGTTTTGGTTCACAGGCCCATTCGCTTCGCTGAAAAAACAATCCGAACCACTGTTCTAGCTGATTTGTTATGAGAGAAAAATACTGTTCCGACTGAAAAAAAAAACAAGCTGAAAAATACGGATTATAAGAGAAGCGAACATGTTTTGGTGTGTCACGACATGGATGGATGGAGCCAATCATTATCACCATTGCCCCGGGATGAGCCAACATATGTTAGATATATTATGGACTTGGCTCATATAATATTTAATAAGTCAAATAAACTATATGGCTCGTAATAGTACATGATATATGATTTAATATCGTACGAGATTTTAACTGGATGTTAACTCGGTTTATATGATTGGATATTGTCCATCTATATTGAGAAGCTGAGAAAAGGACGTAGGTGTGCCACACGCGCGCGCCGCCACCGGCCAGCCCGTGGGCGTGGGCGGACGGACGGGAGTGGTTTTACCGCTCAATCCACATAATTACGGGAGTTATTCTCTTTTATGCTGGTGGCGGGCGGAAGTTTCGCATGTTACTGTCGTCTGCGTCCGCACGTCTCCTCAGTCCTATGATCTCCTCCTACGCCCCATCGTCTCCCTGGCTACGAGCATATAATCTTAGCTCCTCCGTCAGTCACCTTCTTCGCTTCCGAGACAAACCACATATTCAGCTGCTCTCTGGTTTTTCCCGTCCCGACTCCTGCGCGCACAGGACCTGGGAGAGTAGGCCTCCGGAACGTCTGTCGTCTTCGAGTTTGCCTGCTCGGGTGAATGGCGGCAATCACGTTTTTGGGGAGTGTCGCGGCACGACTACTCGCTTCATCCTCTACTTCCCAGAGGATCGCTGGTGATCGGCGCAGCTTCTCTTCTGCAATGCATCGCGCGGGACGACTACACCGACATGCACTATGTCGACTAGTGCATCCGGCTCTGTCGCTAGGTATGTCTCTGTTTTTCGCTATCCCGTAAGATGTTGTATAAATAACTTGCTGGTTAGTATCATCTACATAATGCTCATGCTTAGAACACACAAGCACACATATGAAGTCACAAACCTTTTGATTATTGCTATTTTCTAAATTAAATTGCTACTAAAATTTCCTAAATTTCTAACAACATATGGTAGCACATCTAAACCGAAATATAGATCCATTGGAGTAAAACATACTCCCTCCATTTCAATTTAGGTCTTGTTTGGATGCATGTATATTCACTCCAATCCACATGTGTTGGAGTGGAATAGAAAGGAACTTAGTTTAATTTCACTCCAATTCACTTCAACACATGTGGATTGAGATGAATACATGCACATCCAAACAAGACCTTATAGTTTGTTTTAACTTTTTACATACACAACTTTTTATTGGGTATCTAGACATATCGTATATATATCTAGGTGCATAGTAAAAATTATATACCTAGAAAAGCTAAAACAACCCATAATTTAGCACTGAGGATGGTATTAGAAAAGTTCAACTAAAGCTAGCTAGACTTATTAATTATGGCAAATCTCTTGTAGTTCTTTCGAATAAAAAAATAGCCAGGTTAAATAATTTTTGGAATTTCTTTCTAAAATGAAATTATATTCTCAAGATAAATTTAGAGAGAGAGAGAGAGAAGATGGCAACAACATTTGATATATATACTTTATAGAGAAATGAAACTATATCCTCAAAGAGTTTAGCAATGCTTTTTCATATGGCGGAATTCTCAACCGAATCATAAAATGAACAGTGGCCTTTGACACACACACACACACACACACACACACACACACACATATATATATATATAGACATACACACACACACACGCACACACTTTATAGCAGATGACGACGGTTTTCTTTCGCATGTGTTGGTCACGAACTCTTCAAGATAATACCATGCTTCATCCATTGGGGGCCATTGTCCTATAGTCACTAACATCTAAACTAAAACAAAAACATATTTGGGTTGAGAAAATAATTAACAATCAAGGTTTAACTAACGTTAGTTACACATGACTCAGCCATGGAATACTTCGCCACCAAATTCCAGATACTAGCAAACATGCATGTGCGTTGCAACGGAACATACCACTTGCATCATTTGTTCTAATACAACTTCGAATCGGATCTGTATCGTGGTTGGACGTGTGCTTTAACGCCATTCTAACTCGTAGGTTGTGAGTTCGAGTCATAAATAGGACAATAAAACCAACTATGATTTTTATCTCTAATTCATTACGTACTACTATTCTTAGTAAAACCAACTAGGATATGTGTGGTGTGACGTAGGCAAATGTTTTGCGGCTCCAAATTGTAAGTGAGAAAGATGAGAGTGATGAATAATTTGGAGTGAGAGACGAGGACCAAGTGCCTAAACAAGGGGGTAAGAGTGGTGGACAAAAAAAAATGGAGGACAAATTTGCCTCTTTAAGATCAGATATATATATAAATATAAATATAGATAACTATATATAGACATAAATATATATATAGATATAGATATGGTGGATCATGGTTTATGTCCTGCCGGTGTTTTATGGTGATATATCCATATCCAATGGCTTTGCAATATATGGAGTACAAACATATTCAGCAAGGTAAAAGGTGAAAATTGAGCGTCCGCGCCATTGTTTATTTGTTTTTTTTTCCGACCCATTGTAGGAGTACTCGTTTATAGACCAGGCCCACGGAACGGAAACAAGGAGAAAAATTGGCAGCCGCCCCAATCACATCAATCTCACCGAGTCAGCCAAAGAACTCCTTAAAACCCCCACGCGCACGCCAAAGAACTCCTCTCTTTCCAATCTCGTGTCCGCCTCTCTCTCGCTCCCTTTCCCTTGCTCTCATGGCCGCCTCGCGCGTCGGCGACCCGGCGGAGTCCACGCGCCTGCGCATCGGCGACGAGATCGCGTGGTCCGAGATCAGCGGCGTCTACGACCGCGACGACTCCCTCAAGGAGAACACCAACCCCAAGTGCCTCCTCAAGAACCACCCCGGCGCCAACAACGGCGCCTCGCAGCGGTTCTCGGGCAACCTCAAGCCGACGGCGGCGCCCATCATCGGGCTCTCGGGGAAGCTCGGCCAGGGCGGCGGGCGGGGGCGGCACCACCCGCCCGCCATGTTCCCCAAGAAGGCCAAGACGGGGGGCGGCGGGCGCGCGCCCAGGGCCGCCGTCCCGGAGCCTGGCTCCCCCAAGGTCTCCTGCATCGGCAAGGTGCTCTCCGACCGCGAGCGCGCGCGCCTCGGCCGCCCGCCGAGGCCACGCGGGGGTAACGGCGGGGGCGGGTGCTGCGGTGGGTTCGCGTTCTTGATGCGGCGGAGCAGGTCCAGGAACAGCGTCGAGTGCGTCGACCAGTCCCCGCCGCCGCTGCCGCCCCTGCCCGAGGCGGCCAGGCGGAGGGAGACGAAGCCGAAGGAGGTGGAAGCGGCGGCGGCGGATGCGGTGGCGGCGGCGCCCGGGCTGGGTGGCATGCGGCGGTTCGCGTCCGGGCGGCGGGCCGCGGAGTGGGCGGCCGAGATGGACGGCGGCGACGGACGCGTGGCGTCATCTGGGCCGTTGTAACGCGTGCAGGTGCAGGTAGGCCGCCCGCCCGTTGTAGGCTGGGTAGTTGGAGCGTGGCTTTCAGTTTGGTTGTTGCTGTGGTTTTAGTTAACGTGTAGTTGAGCTGTGTACATAGTTCTTCTTGAAATTGCATTTGAAATTGAGATTTGGTTTTGGCAAGCTTTGGTTGCTCGGTTTTTATTTTTAGCTCGATAGATGATTTTCGCTATTTTGTACTTGCAAATGTTGTCAGAATTTTCAGTTTTGGATAATTTTGCCGATAACTTTGCTCTCTCACACAAAGAAAAAAAAAAGATAAAATGGGACCCCTTTTTATTGGATACTCGTAGCATACTTGTCCACAGGCAACAAATACATGCAACAAAAAAGGGGCTAAAATAACACCTTGTTTTTTTTGTTTTTGTTTTGAATCGGATAACATATTTGTCGAGAGGACACAAGAAGCAACAATCTTACCACAGGATACGTTTTGTTGGTGGTAATTGATTGAAGGAGTCCTGGTGGCTTTATCTACCAAAGAAAAGCTAAAGTGACGGCATGTCTTAGGGCTTGACTAGCATGTACACAGAGCGGACTTAAGCAAGAGCATATCCACCAATGCCCCCTACTTGATTTGGGTAGTGGGGGTAAAAAAATCAACTCCGGCAGGCTCTCTACTATACCCCTACTTCTGATGGCCCCCTACTTTCCCCCCAAAACCTCCTACTTCTGCTGCCCCCCCACCGTAGATTGCTCCTGACGCGTCCGCCGTCTCCTTCCGCACAGTGGTTCCTACTCGGCGGCACTGCCTGGGCGGCGTGGCCCTGCCTGGCGAGGCCAGCCCCATCGGCGCGGCCAGGCCTGGCGAACCTCCCCGGCGTGCCGCATCCCTAGGCCGGCCTAGATCCCACCGCCCCCTCCCCATGGCGGTGCATCCCTTCCCGTGGCGACTGCCCATGGCGGTGCATCCCTTCCCGTGGCGACACCCCTTCCCGGCGCTGCTCCTGGTGGGGCGCGGCTCTGTCCCAGCTCGGCACGGTGGTCTTTGGCAGAGAGAGGAGCCGCGGGATGCGACCGATGAGGATGTCCGAGTTCGTCCATCCCCATGAGATAGGGAAGAGGATGACAGGTTAGTCCCATATGTCATCCTCTACAAGTATGGATTTGGGAGGTCTATTTTAGGTAGTGTTGCTGGAGTAAACCATAAAATATAAGTAGTATAAAAATTGATAGCTACCTAAACAGAAAAGTATGGGAGGTGTTTTAGGTAGCATTGCTGGAGATGCTCTAGCAAAATATGCCTTAGGGCTTGACCAATGTAGCATATATACAAAATGAACTTTTCATTTACCAGGATGAGTATGTTGCATTCTATTGTTAAAATTGGCAGACACAAATAGAATGGTTAATAATCTCGCAAAAAAGAAGGCTAGCATCGATTCCTAGCTCTTGCTTTGTTCTCTCGTTAGTCTTGGACATATTCTAGAAACTATATTATCTAGATGGCTCTGGAAAATCTAAAAGGTAGAGTCCATCTAGACAAAGGAAGGTGTGAGCCATCCCTTCTTCCATCCCAGACAATGTTAATACTTTATGAATATCTTGTTCAGTATTTCAGCTTTTCTTCCTCTTTGAGTTAGAAGGGTTCTACTTTTCCACGATAATGCTCGCTCTAGTAATAGTTTCGTTATTTTGTTAGACCAAGAACTTGGTGCTCCTATGGACCACTTTGACACTTTGCGAAGACACTAGTTGAGTCTATTTGGACATTCAGTGAAGAAATGGAGCTTGGGACTACCATACACGCTAGAGTGATGGGGCGCTCTTAGATCTTGAGTGGTTCTGTCTTCACAGATCTTCTTTTGATACCTCCCATGCAACATCTTGTCTATGAAGGAAAGCTATATGTGGAAGGCTTTCTCCTAGAAAGAGGGTTTCTCCTAAAGAAGCTTGAAGGAATAACATAGGGCGAAGGACTAGACATGGCATACCTTTGTTGGACTATAAGGTGTTGCAGAACTTACACTTGCAACAAACGTCTGAAACAGATAAAATATTCAAAACATACACTTGCAATATAGGCAACATCCAGATAAAACACTTACAACATACGTCTAAAACAGATGAAACATTTTCAACAAACTCTTGAAACATATGTGTATAGCCATTGCAACATGTGCAACATCCTAATATTTATTTGCAACATCCATATGAAACACTAGCAACATCCCTCTGAAACATCTGAAACACTTGCAACATAGAGTTTGTGACATATGTTTTTAGTGCAACAGGGGCGGGCGATGTGGCAAACTGGCGCGGTGGAGGTGGCCCTGTGAGACGGCAGCGGCAGGCGGGGCGCAACAACCGGGGCGAATCCGTGCGGGCAGGAGCTAGCAATGGCGTACGTGGGGCGCACGGAGCGAGTGCAGGCGGGCGAGGCGTGTGGCGCGTGAAGCGAGTGGCGCGGGCGACGAGGGCAGGTTGCACGGAGCGGTCTATCCGGACGGGACGGACGCCCGTGGCATATCATAATCGTTTTCGCTATTTTGCACTTACCAAAGGTTGTTAGAATTTTCAGTTTTGGACAATGTGAAATGGATCTAGAGGGACCCCTTTGACATAATGGTTCATGTTTTACATAAACATGGGCACAGTATCAAAGATCTTTTGGAAGCACATACTCCTCTGGGGGGTCGATTAGGACATGGGCGTAAAGGCCTTTACGATATAATCAATAATTCGATTCATTTTCAATTAGGCCTTGCTATAGCTTCCTTAGGGGTTATTACTTCCTTAGTAGCTCAACATAAGTGGAGAATTTTGTCGATAACTTTGCTGTGTCTCACACAAAGAAAAAAAAACTTAAATGACACCCCTTTTTTATCGGATAGCTTACTTATCCACAGCTTACAGTTAAGAACCAACAATCCGTGCAAAAAAGGGGCTAAAATAACACCTTTTTTTTAATCGGATAGCATATTTGTCCAAAGAACACAAGAAGCAACAATCTTACCATAGTCCATAGGATACGTTTTGTTGGTGCACTACGGGAATCAGTGGCTTTGTCGAGTGCCAGGGGCACTCGGCAAAGCCCAATTTTCACTCGGCAAAGGCTTTGCCGAGTGCTGCACTCGGCAAAGAACACTCGGCAAATAAACCGTCGGCAAAGGCGTCTTTGCCGAGTGTCTTTTGTCGGGCACTCGGCAAAGCCTTTGCCGAGTGCCGACACTCGGCAAAGTTGAAAACGAAAAAAACCCGAAAAAAATGGGAATTTTTATCCCAAAAAAATGGAATTTTTTTTTATCGATGGAGGCCCCCACCGGCCAGCGCCCACCCATCTCCGACATTTTTCGTCGGAATTTCATGGCTACGCGGCCGACGCGATTCGAACCCGAGACCTCCCGCTGTGCACGTACCTCCTCTACCACTACACCACACTCTCACTTGTGTCTACATTCCGTTTTAGTTCACAATATATTATACTAAACCGAGTGTAAATTACATGTTTGAGGCCCTAAACGAATTCAAATAAAAAAGTTGTAAACTACAAAGTTTCATAACTTTTCGAGATCTACACTTTTAGTTTAGGAAGTTTTTCCATCCGAGGTCGTTTACAAAATTTGAATTTTAAAATTTTAAAATTCAAACGCAGTTTTGCATGACAAGAAGTTTTCAAATCAAAAGGTTGTCAACTACAATGTTTCATAACTTTTCGAGATCTACAAAGTTTATTTTGGTTGTTTTTTCATCCGAGGTCGTTTGAAAAGTTCGAATTTTAAAATTTTAAAATTCAAATACAGTTTTGCATGACAAGATGTTTTCAAATCAAAAAGTTGCCAATTACAAAGTTTCATAACTTTTCGAGATCTACAAAGTTTATTTTGGTTGTTTGGTCATCTGTTTATCCGATATGGTCGTTCTAACATTGTTTACAAATCTTATATATCTCTCTTGTAGTTTCATAAACTATAAGATAGATATGTTAGATTTGTGAACAAATTTATTTTCACTTTGTCGAATGAAGAAAATACCAAAACAAATATGGTACATCTTGATGAGTTATACAACTTTGTAGTTAAAAACTGTTTCATTTGAATTAATTTACTGTTTCAAAATGTGCTTTGAAATTTTCTTTGCCGAGTGTAAAAAAAACACTCGGCAAAGAAGCTCTTTGCCGAGTGTCAAAAAAAACACTCGGCAAAGATGCTTCTTTGCCGAGTGTAAAAAAAACACTCGGCAAAGAAGTTTTTTTTTGCCAAGTGTAAATTACATGTTTGAGGCCCTAAACGAATTCAAATAAAAAAGTTGCAAACTACAAAGTTTCATAACTTTTTGAGATCTACACTTTTAGTTTAGGAAGTTTTCTCATCCGAGGTCGTTTACAAAAATTGAATTTTAAATTTTTGAAATTCAAATGCAGTTTTGCATGACAAGATGATTTCAAATCAAAAAGTTGTCAATTACAAAGTTTCATAACTTTTCGAGATCTACAAAGTTTATTTTGGTTGTTTGATCATCTATTCATCCGACATGGTCGTTCTAACATTGTTCACAAATCTTATATATCTCTCTTGTAGTTTCATAAACTACAAGAGAGATATGTTAGATTTGTGAACAAATTTACTTTCACTTTGTCATATGAAGAAAAGACCAAAACAAACATTGTACATCTTGATGAGTTATACAACTTTGTAGTTGAAAACTTTTTCATTTGAATTAATTTACTGCTTTAAAATATGCTTTGAAATTTTCTTTGCCGAGTGTCAAGAAAATAACACTCGGCAAAGAAGCTCTTTGCCGAGTGTTAAAAAAAACACTCAGCAAAGAGCCTCTTTGCCGAGTGTAAAAAAAACACTCGGCAAAGGCGGCTTTGCCGAGTGCCCGAAAAACAACACTCGGCAAACCACCTGGCACTCGGCAAAGAGCCGGTCTCCGGTAGTGGTGGTAATTGATTGAAGGAGTCCTAGTGGCTTTATCTGCAAAGAAAAGCTATAGTGGCAGCGTGTCTTAGGGCTTGACTA